GTACTTGTGTTCCAGGCGACTTATCGCGGCTGAGTACGCGGACGCTGAGTAGCCAAATGCCTCAATGCTCTTCAGCGGCGGGCCCGTGAGGCACTGGCGGAGTTGAAGGAGCTTCAACTCGGCTGATATTGGCTGCTGATCCACGCACACCATGAATGCCGTACGCCAGGTGTCGTACGCCTTCTTGTCGCCACTGAAAGTTGGGATGGTGATCTTCTTCAAATGGCGATAGACATCAGATGGTGCCGCGCTGTGTGGACTTTGACCTGAGGAACTGTCAGGTGAGGGAGTCAGTGCAGGTGGCGACAATTGCGGCGTAACGGGTAAACGTGCTGACTGCGATGACAGCGTCGGGTTTTGACTGTATGGTCGGAAGCCGCTCCGAGTCTGGTCTGGCGTCGACAATGCGTACGACGGTTGCTGTGGTGCTGCGTGCGGCGGCAGCTGTGGCGCTGCGTGCGACGGCTGCTGCGGCGCTGCGTGCGGCGGCTGCTGCGGCGCTGCGTGCGGCGGCAGCTGCAGCGGTTGCTGTGCGGAACTTAAAAACGCTGTGTACAGCGGCTGCTGCGGCGCTGCGTGCGGCGCTGCGTGCGGCGGCTGCTGCGGCGGCGCTGCGTGCGGGGGCAGCTGCAGCGGTTGCTGTGCGGAACTTAAAAACGCTGTGTACAGCGGCTGCTGTACGGAACTTGAAAACACGGTGGACAGCTGCTGCTGTGTGGCCTGCGTCGACGATTGTCGTGGCACCGAGTGCGACGGCTGCTGCAGAGAACTACTGGAAAACGCTGTGTACAGAGGCTGCTGCACCTGCGTTGACGACTGCTGTGGCGCAGAGTAGGACGGCTGCTGCACCGAACTACTTGTACTTGACAACGCTGTGTACAGCGGCTGCTGCCTGACCTGTGTTGACGACTGTCGTGGCGCTGAGTGGGCCGGCTGCGGCACGGAGCTCGAGAGCTCTGTGTACAGCGGCTGCTGCGAAGCCGGAGAGCTCGACGCCGTGTACGATGGCTGCGGCCGAGAGTTCAAAAACTCCGTGCATGGCGGCTGCTGCGAAGCCAGAGAGTTCGAAGACGCCGTGTACGACGGCTGCGCGTGCGGCCGAGAGTTCGAAAACTCCGTACACGGCGGCTGCTGCGAAGCCAGAGAGTTCAAAAACTCTGCGTACGAGTGCTGCGTCGGGGAGTTCGAAAACTCCGTGCACGGTGGCTGAGCCGGCGATGTTGACCTCGGATTTGAGAGGCTCTCTGTAGCTGTGGCCATCAGCCCACGCGGAGGCTTGACCTCGAGGTCATCAGTGAGCGCCGCATGTGGGTATACCGGATCCCCGTTGACATGTATGTCGGGCGGACCTTGGTCAACGCTGTACTCATGGACATGGTACTCATACGACGGGACGGCCTGGCCCTGCGTAGGTCTACTTGCACTGGACAGAGCAGCTGTAGCCTGTGTAGGTGCACCCAAAGACACACTGACATTCGCACTACCTGTGGTGCTACTCTGCATATGTGTAGATTCTACGTGTGTGGATTCCTGTTGTAACTGATCCTGTGCAGCTCGCACTGTCCTTGCCGCAGACACAGACTCCAAATACTCTCGTACTCGATCAGGGTTGCGTGAGTACCGCACACCCGTCGCCTCGCTGGTGCACGTACTATTGTAACGGCTCATGCTAGCCAAAACTGTACTCGCACGAGTAACAGCATCTGTATACTGGTTTTCCAGATCATCAGCATCCTTGCAAAGACCATCAAGAAACACACTGTCCTGACTGGTACTACATGCGCTGGATAACTCGGTGATAATCTCCATCACGGCGTTCAGGCCGTTCTCAAGTAAAACAAGATTGTACTTGATCTTGTCTTTGTCTAAGTCTGGTTCATCGATGGCGACGAGTAGTCCGCGGCGAAGGTTCGTGAAGGTTGCCTTCGCCTTCGCTTTGGCGATCTTCCGCTTCACTACGTCAGCCATCGTCTGAGAGGCTCGAAGGACCAATTTACAATTTCTGGAATCAGTCTCGAAGATTCATTGTAAGGAAAAATATGTCTCTCTTGTCTCGAAGGAGAAAACTCAAAGAACAAAAGACAGTGAAGCAAACCGCCAGCAAATCAAGCTACCGTACGCTTTCCAACGGCGAAAGGCGATAGTGCGGGAAAACACGAAGATACAAGGAGAAGACTGTAAGCTCAGGTAAATGCGAGAGAGGAGTTGGTGATAATCAAGAATGAGATAATCAAGAATGGAGAAAGGAAGATCAAAAGAGAGAGAGAGAGAGATAGTGAGAGAGAGAGCGAGAGAACGAGGCTGTCTGGCGATCGTATGCAATATCTCACATATGTTATATCCCTGCCTTACATGTACACTGCTGCATCTACAGTCAACTTCGCTAAGAACGACTGCGGATATAACGACAATTCGCGAATAACGACATCATTTTCATACCCAGAGCAAAGTGACGTCCCATCCAACTGTGACACATATACATGTAGTGAGACTTCGGGTATAACGACACTTCGCGAATAAGGACACTTTTCTGATCCCCCGCCGAGTGTCGTTGTAAGCGAAGTTGACTGTACTGTGTTCAGTTTATGTACTGCACATGTCCTATATATGCGTTCCTGTTGCACCCTTGCACCATTTGCAGCCCTCATGAGCACCATTTCTAGCACCCATGAACCCTTGCATCACCTGTGATCTCCTGACAGCACCCGTGTACTTTTGTGGCACCTTGTTTATTAGGGGCGCCGGAAGGTATTTTAGTGTGGTACGGTCGGCCATCTGAAGAACAAGTTACTCGTGGGGAAGGGTGGCTGAGCCAAAATTCTGGGAATTTATAGTCCAGATCATTGTGTTTTATTGGTACACGGGACACCTGGGGCAAAAAGTGGCACGGTCGATACCTTAGTGACCGTGTCCGACACCCCTGTACATGTAGTGTAGCTTTGCACTGATCACTATGTCATAGACTAGCTTTGCACTGATCACTATGTCATAGACTAGCTTTGCACTGATCACTATGTCATAGACTAGCTTTGCACTGATCACTATGTCATAGACTAGCTTTGCACTGATCACTATGTCATAGACTAGCTTTGCACTGATCACTATGTCATAGACTAGCTTTGCACTGATCACTATGTCATAGACTAGCTTTGCACTGATCACTATGTCATAGACTAGCTTTGCACTGATCACTATGTCATAGACTAGCTTTGCACTGATCACTATGTCATAGACTAGCTTTGCACTAGGGGTGAAACGATTAGTTCGAAAATTTCAAACGAGCGAGTATTCGAAATTTTGCACTCGATCGTTTTTTTTTTTTTTTTTTTTTTAGTATTGGCATTCTATTTTTCAAAAACTTCTGTTGTACCGCTCATCGACTGGTATGCATGCGTTTTGCATGCCTTTGAGTCAGTATTTTATGACTTCGACGATGCGATCACCACGGCAAGTAACGTTAGTTTGTTATGAGATAATGAAAGTACTGGTGAAAATCGTTACTCTACACTCTGTACAAGACGTTGGCGACTTTTGTTCTATGTTCACAGATAATTTCTTCCGAATTGGTCGAGAACTCACAAATCTAGCGCTTTCGAATTTTGATAAAATACTCGAAATAATCGGATACTCGATCGAACATTATGAATGAGTGATCGGTTGGTCAAAATAGATACTCGTTTCACCCCTACTTTGCACTGATCACTATGTCATAGACTAGCTTTGCACTGATCACTATGTCATAGACTAGCTTTGCACTGATCACTATGTCATAGACTAGCTTTGCACTGATCACTATGTCATAGACTAGCTTTGCCCTGATCACTATGTCATAGACTAGCTTTGCACTGATCACTATGTCATAGACTAGCTTTGCACTGATCACTATGTCATAGACTAGCTTTGCACTGATCACTATGTCATAGACTAGCTTTGCACTGATCACTATGTCATAGACTAGCTTTGCACTGATCACTATGTCATAGACTAGCTTTGCACTGATCACTATGTCATAGACTAGCTTTGCACTGTTCACTATGTCATAGACTAGCTTTGCACTGATCACTATGTCATAGACTGTAGCCTTTTCTGTTACTGCAAGTCTACTTTCGGGACTTTGTGGGATTCTCCCGTGTCTGAATTTTCCTTCTTGTAGATGCATTCTGTATTATTTGTGGTTCTTTTCTTGCATGATGTGTTGCAGTAAGATTAGCCTTTTTTCTTTGTTCGCCAGAAGGTGAGAGATAAAGGTATAACTTCCAGGTGTGCACCGGAATCAGCTCACTTCTAACCTCCTTCTTACCACTCGGCCACATATTACACATACAACTGAGCTGATGATGCGTAGATGTAATCCAGGATTCTGGACTGAGCCCCAACCAAAATGTTGAGAAAGATGGCCGTCTGAACGGGTTTTTTTGGCGTTTCAGCAGAAACTGTCATACAAGATGTACCCGGCTTTCTACCCTTCTCCTGGAATAGCTAAACTGCTGTGTTTGCCTACACTGTATACCTGCAGGATACACGTGTGTTTCAGTCTTTGTTTTTCTGTCCTTATCATCTTACTCAAGAGTACATAATCCCCAAGGATGTATAGCTCCAGTCTGGTCTAGGGGTCCGTGACGGTAGAAGTCGAAATCACACGACGAACCCGTACACACCTGATTTTCACCCTGTGCTACAGGCCGTAGTGTACAGGGTCGTATGCAACCCTGCTTTGCGTACAACTCTCTCTCTCTGGTTTCACCTTACTGTTTGCCAGCGTAGTCTTATGAACAAATCTCACGTGATCTGAAACTCTGCCGCCGCAGCAGCGCATAGAGGTCCTACAGGCAGTTGCCTGGGGGTTACCTGGGGGTTGCCTAGGGGTTGTGCTGGGGGTTGTGTACTCTTGCCTAAGTGTACTTTTAGTGTGGCTTCAGAGTCTATGCTGTGGATTTCTATGTTTGGCATTGGCTGAGCGGCGGCTTACTTCTACCTGCCTTACTTGTCACTTCTTGCAGATCCCACCAAGGATACAAAGATAACACTCGGTGGCAAGCCAGTGGCTGTCCCGCAAGGGCCTCCACAGCAACAGTCCATGTGGTCGGGCAGTAGCTTCTCCCAGAGCGAGTATCTTGTCTACCAGGAGAGTCAGGCTCGCATTCGCTACATGCTGAAGATTAAGTTCTGAACGCGAGCCGCATACCGCTGCCGTGCTGGCGCCTGCGCTATCGCGGCGGCCATGGTCGCAGCTGCCAATATATTAGTCTCGCTTTCAAACAAGTTCCTGGACAATCTTCTCCAAGTACTCGGTAGATAGCTGCTGGTACTGCTGGTGATAGTTGTTTGCAATTACTTGTTCTGCTGCTACTGCTGCTGCTTTGAGACGGTCTGTACAGTTCGCATGTACAAACTGAATCAAGTTGGCATAGTATTTTTTATAGATATTTTCTAATTCTCTGTTAGGTTTGTTTCAATGCCAGAGAATCATTTGACCGTACTTCCCGCTACATAACCCTGTGAGTAAATTACTTGCCGAATTGTGCTTGTGTGTGTGTGTCTGAGGTGTGTGTGTGTGCGTGCATGTGTGCGTGTGTGTTTGTGTGTGTGTGTGTGTGTGTGTGTGTGTGTGTGTGTGTGTGTGTGTGTGTGTGTGTGTGTGTGTGTGTGTGTGTGTGTGTGTGTGTGTGTCACGTGTGTGTGGTGTGTGTGTCCTCCCTTCGGGTACTGGTTGTCGCATGTACTTTCGTGTTTTGTAGCTGTGAATGCAGAGCCTGATTCGGCTGAGAGCATCACCATGATCACCTGCTTCATCTGTAGCCTAGAAACTGAACACAGGCACATGTAATGCCAATGCATCACTCAACACAAGCTCTCTGCCGAGGAAGTATGATTGTGTTTCACATCTGGACATCCATCCACTTTGATGAAACAGCAAGCTAACTAAATCGGCTGAGGAAAGGAGATATTGGGAAGAAGAGCATGGTCGGAGGTAAACATTCCACATGCAGGGTGGATCAACCAGTTACCTGATTCCTGATTCTGGCCTTGCGGGGTGGGGGCTTGACACTGTATTCTTGGAGGAGCTGACTGCAGATAAAACGTGAAGCCGAGTTCTGTATGGGACTCAGACCGTCGTCCTGCACGGGGCGTACCCCGCCAACCTTGCTTGTGAGAGGATCGGGTACGGGTCCGGGTGTGTGGCACCTGACCAAAGAACCATACATTAAATCTGTCCCTCCAGGAACTACTTGCGATTCCGCGGCCGCGTTGTTTTCCGCGATTTGAACAAAAGTCCGTGATATCCGCGATATTTGAAAAATCATCCGCGATTCTTGTAGAAAACTGTCCTTGATACTTGAAAAGCACCGCGATATTTCGAAAAGCAACCGCGATATTCGAGTCTTTCTTCGATGTTGTTTAGTTCTTGAAGCTCGTCAGTAGTTTACTTGTGAGATCGACGCCAGAATGGAGAAGTTTCTGGGCAAATCAGCGGCTGACAAGTCACAAAATGAGGCTCGCGTGGAGTGTTGTCCGAGGATGGAGGAAAGCTGTCTTGCAAGCTCCTGTCAGGCAGTTGAACACAGTCAGCGCAGCACACGTTCTGTTTTGTCATGCATGATTTATGCTGTACGACTCGTACATCGTACTTATACACCATACCACTACAGTACAAGTACCAAAATCGGCCGCAATTTCCGCAATATTTGACCAAATCCGCAATATTCGCCGCAATTTGTGGCATTTTACCTCGCAACTTTTTCCGCGATATTTCCGAAATGTCTCCGCAAGGTAGTTTCTGGAGGGACAGATACAAAAAAAGTAGGTTGCAATCGTAGATTCCGCTAGGACCCGCAGGGTCCGACGTGGAATCGGGGTTATTACACGAGGAGTGAAGGCGAAGAATGTGACAGTGTGTTTGGCCTCAAATCGCTCTAGTTTTCCCTAAATTTCCAGCGGTTTAAAGATAAAAATGCAAATGCACGCCTTAATCGAACCTACTTGTAAGTTGTAGCACCTCTTGCTTTCTTTGGCCTTTTCTGAGCGACCAAAATGATAGTGCAATCAAGAGTAGTGACAGTGAGGGGTGGGTGACATCAGCACAATGGGCGGGAACACACTGTCACATTCTTCGCCTTCACTCCTCGTGTAACCCCGATTCCACGTCGGACCCTGCGGGTCCTAGCGGAATCTACGATTACACTTCGGAGCTTCGGCTTCGGGGAGTGTGACAGTGTGACTTTTAAAGTGATCCACCACCTCAACCAAGGCAAGGGCGTAGCCAAGCATTATGCGCGAAGGAGAAGCGCGCATGTGGAGTGAAGGAACAGGCATCTCGCAGAGTGCCTGATATACAGTAAAAATGTCTCTATGTATCGAGGATACACCATATGTACAGGTGCCCTTCAAGTCGGAGACAAGAAGGGAGAAAAGGGCGACAGTCAATTAAAAACGACTAGCACAGGACACAGATAATAATACTGCGACACTATGGCGACACGACATGCATCCAGCTGCTTCAGCTCGTCTGCCAAGCCCTTGTTGGTAACGAAAGCCTGGTACATGGTGGGTCGGGCACAAGGCACACGTGCATGCAGTACCGGCATATCCGCCATATCAGTACTAAACAGTACGAGACAGATCTGGTTGCTAGCTATGGTTGCGTAGATATTCCAGGATACGTACGATGAAATGCTATCCACAGTAGTAAATTACAGATAATGGCTACTTGGACCTGCCGTTGTACGGAAAGGGCCGCGCTGATATGCACATATCATATGGGCAATGAATTGATCCCAGTTATGGATGCCGCAGTAATCGTGCAAGGCCTTGGCTGGCCAGACCAAGAAGGGGGTGGTCCCTCGCGGTGCCCGAGGTGGGCACTAACTTGAGTAGTGGAAGGCAGTATACCACAAGTCATAGCGTACACGAAGGCAAGACTTAGTGTACATGACATTGCACTCTTGGCACTACGCTCAGCAGATAGCTGGAGCGCCCGTGTCTGTACGTGCTCCAGCCACCCGGAAGGTCAGACTGAGGTATGGCAACAGTAAAAGTGTTATATGCTTCACCACTTCGAGGCTGCTATCACAAAAGGTGCTTGAGCAATAGGAATGGCAGTACATTGTTGGCACTGCACAAATGGCAACCATTTGATGTTTATTTTTCATTGCTCACAGAGGTGCATCAGCCACCTCTGACATCGTGATCATGCTTCCAGAACCATGTACCTACATACAGGTAAACCTGCCTTAACCGGACGCCCGTGGTGCAGCGGAAACTGGTCTATGACATTATTCCGCTTGACACAGGGATGCATGTTCGATCCACAGCCCTTTGGTGCAGAAACATTTCCCGGTCAATACGGGATTCTGCTTGGTATAGGAGCAAGCAAACACAGGTAGAACTGTACTTGCGAAAAAACAAAATGAGCATGGCAGAACGGCATTAAGTTATGGGCGTGACTCTGGGCATGAAACAAAGCACTCGCCGGTGCTTGCAAAGCCACGAGACCATCATTCATCACCAATGGACTGATGGTTAGAGTGTGGCAAGGCCCCCGACAGGGCCTGCCCACTGGCGTGACGGAAGCCACCATATCTACAATGACCGCACAGTCCACAGACATGGGTGGATGCGAGATGCGGCACAGACATTGGAAAGGCACTCCTGCTTTTCATGAATTTGCCCTGACCACACAAGGAAGTAACGACTCAGGGCAAGAAACAAAGCACTCGCTGGTGCTTGCAAACCTACGAGACCATCGTCCATGGATAGTGGATGGATGGATAGAGTGGTTAGAGTGCGGCAAGGCACGCGACAGGGCCTGCCGACTGTAGAGACCATCGTCCATCGACAGTGGACGGATGGTTTGAGTGTAGCAAGGCACGCGACAGGGCCTGCCCACTAGTTCGACCATCGTCCATCCGCAGTGGATGGATGGTTAGAGAGTGGCTAGAGTGTGGCAAGGCACGCGACAGGGCCTGCTCACTGTAGACTATCGTCCGTTGATGTATGGTTAGAGTGCGGCAAGGCACACGACAGGGCCTGCCCAGTGGTGTGACCATCGTCCATCGACAGTGGATGGATGGCTAGAGTGTGGCAAGGCACGCGACAGGGCCTGCCCACTGGTGAGACCGTGGTCCATCGACAGTGGACGGATGGTTTGAGTGTGGCAAGACACGCGACAGGGCCTGCCCACTGCCGTGATAGAAGCCGCCGCATATCCGCCATGTCCGCGTCGTCCATCGATGGGGTTGGATACCAGTTACTTGTAGGTACAGAGATTGGCAAGGCACTCGTCAGGGCCTGTCCAATGACGTGACGGAAGCCGTCTGTTGATGTTGCTACGCGCTAAGCGCAGAGCCTTGGCAAGGCACTCGAAAGAGCCTGCCGAACTCGTGAAGGCCGCCCTGACCGAACAGGGAAATCGTGACTCGGGGCATGAAACAAGGCACTCGTCGGTGCTTGCAAACCCACGGAACCATCGCAGCGTCGCCATCAGCATTGGCCGCCGAAAAGGCCGAAATTTCCATATCGGCACAAAACTAATTACTTCAGCACTTACCTACACGGACAGCACGACGATCCGGTAGGAACTCTTACTAGTCCTAGGCCTGGACTGCAAGCTTCAGCTTCGGAGTCATCATTAGACAATAGACACTGCCATAGCGGCAGTAGAAGACTGAAGTCTCAAGGATACTAGACAAAGGCCTAAAGGAAAAAGGTAACCTATCAGCAAAGAAGCGAAAGAAAAGGCCAAAGAAAGCAAGAGGTGCTAGGTGCAATCAGCTCGAACCCGCGATCTCTCGGGTCGCAGGCAAGTGCAGTACCCAATGTACTAACAGTGACCTTACTACAATTATAATGTACATGTACAACCTTCCGCGGTTGGCAGAGGCCCGGTCCCTGCGGACCATCTGAACCATAATGGGTGTCGCACCCGGTTCTGACCCTCATCAAATTGCGTGAACTATACAAGTAAAAAAGATTGATTGTTTATCGTCCGCGCCCGCCCCAAATTTTCACCCTCCCGGCCGAATGTATTGTATGTACCGTGTGGTATACAGCCTCTAATCGGCATTGTCGTAGATTTTCGAAGGTCAAGTCCACAGACTGAACGAAAAATTTGTTGCTATGGGCTTGAAAAGTGAAACTGATCATCAGCTGCCTGATTTTCTTCGTTTTTTCTACGTAACGTTGGTTGTTGCACTTTTCGTTATTAGAATCCTCAAAATTGTCTTGCTGGGGTTGCGAACACCTACAATTGTATCCTACAGCCATACATGCATAATAAAAAATAAAATTAAAACCTCCCGTCCGCCCCGATTTATCGGGAAAATCTGACGATAAACAATCAATATATTTTACATGGCCTAATACTGGGTTTTTTTAACCAGTGTTAGGTTATAATGTAGCTGCTTGCAGCATGGTACACGACAGTATCATGGCCTTTTCAGATTTTCATTGAACAGTACCTATTTGTAGTACCTCCGGGATCAGTATTTCCACTTGAAATAATATTCACCAA